AATTCTATAGAACATAAGGAAAGTATATTTATTTATTTTCTTTCTTATTTATAATCAGATATTCACTTTTTGTACTTTGTTTTTGTATAGAAAATCAGGGACGAGTCTTCTCTGAATAATTACTGTGAAGAGAATATATCTTTGTTCTCAGAGTTATTACAGTAAAGGAAAGCTCGATACAATTATATATGAAATAGAAGTCAATTAGATTTCTCAGAGTTATATAAGTATAACTAATATGTGAACAACTATTTACATTTCAAGTTAACGATAAAGGAAACCCAATCTATATGAAGAAGTCTTATTGCTTAAAATGAAGTTTTCGATTAAGAATTTATATAAATTACTTTATTATTTTAAACCTTAATGATAATATATTAAATATTTAATTCAATCAAATCTAAGAAGTTAAAAGATAACAAATTGTCTTTTAAAGAATTCTAATTGTTCCTTCTAAGCTCTTCTTAGTTCTATTTTATCTTATCTATTATCACAATTTATCATTGCTTCTTATATAACTGATTCTTCTGTTACAGGTTCATCATCAGCAGATTCAATCATGTAACAATTTCTATGAATTTTGGTTTATTAAATTTTTTCTTCTCAGAAATTCATAGCAATTTTAGAATAAATTCTTTGACAGTTATTTTAATTCCTTTTCAAAATATAATAAATAAAAAATAAAGAATAACTTTGCTAAAAATTTATTCACATATTGACTCTTGAATGAAGTTCAGTTTATTAATAATAAATATCTACTTTACATGCATCTATTTATTTTTTAAATTATGTAATAGTTTCTTTTGCATATATTTATTTGTTTGTAAACTTCTTTAAGTGAAGTTTTCTTTTATTTTCTAGTAATATTAAACAATAAAACAGGTTAAAATTATGTAATTTGATTGGTTAATTATTACAAGAAATCATGGAAAGATCTACAAAAATCAATCAATCATACAAATATCAGAAAGTAAATTTAATTTTTATATGATATCTCTTGTTATCAGTACTTAAGCAAATCTTAAAGACAAATATAAAAGATTACAAAAGAATTATACTATTCTTCACAATGATAATGAAGCATTGTTAGAAAATAATAGTGATTATTATATAGAACATTGTCATTTATTAATACAAGAAAATGATGTATTAGTTAAACAAGTAAGTTTTTTTTACATTACTAAGCTTATATACTGTATATTAAATCTATATAGTATATGCTATATTCAATATGTAGAAGTATCATGATGTCATAATAGATACATGGTATTCTGTGAATTGTATTATTAAACAAATTTTCAAATATTTTAGTATATTCATTTTTATACATATCACTGTATCTACAAAGAAACATATTTGTTTTTCTGAAATACGCTCTGTTTTAATTTTTATTTTAATTTTTTTAAGAAAAATTATTAAATATATAACTAAAAATATAACCTAATCATAAACATAATGATAAAATGAGAAGAATTCTAAAAAACTCGTATCTATACGAGAGAATTCTAAAAAACTCGATCTATGTAAGAGGAATTCTAAAAAACTTGATCTATGTGAGAGGAATTCTAAAAAACTCAATCTATTGAAGAGGAATTCTAAAAAAACTTGTATTTATACAAGAGGAATTTTAAAAAACTCGATCTATGTGAGAGAATTCTATCTATGTGAGAGAAATTCTAAAAAACTCGATCTATATAAGAGGAATTCTAAAAAACTTGATCTATGTAAGAGGAATTCTAAAAAACTCGATTTATATGAGAGGAATTCTGATTAGTTGAATTAAATCAATTCCTCTGAATTTTTTATTCATAGTAAGAAAGTAATTCCTCTGAATTTTTTATTCATAGTAAGAATTAAAGTAATTTTTCTGAATTTTTTTATTCATAGTAAGAATTAAAGTATTCCTCTGAATTTTTTATTCATAGTAAGAATTCTACAAAATCTTATCTATGAATAAAAGAATTAAATTAATTCTGCTGAATTTTTGATTCATAGTAAGAATCAATTGATTTTTTCTATTCATAATAAGAATTCAATTAATTTTTTATTCATAAGATTATATATCATATGAACTTATTGTCTTAAAAAATACACTTTAAAAATCTTTGAAAAAATCAATTAATTATATCATTTATTTTTTTAAATAATAAAAAAAACTTTATGTCACATAGCAAGCATAAGCACGTGTTGTGATCTGCAGCTAATTCGCAAGCGCAATATGGCTTGCCCTCCTCAAAAAATTCAATGAGCGAAGTGGTGAGTCTACGAGTAGACAGCTTCAGTAGCTGACTAGAAGCCAGACACTCATGATGAATGGTTGTTGTTAGTGGCCAACTAGACAACAAACATAAATCTTACGATTACAATGTATCATGACTTTGTCTAATACAATCAATCACAACAAAGTCATAATTGTATATTTCCAAATTAATCAAATAAATAAAAATGTAGTTTTCTTATAAATACTTGAAATTATTTTAGCACAACTTCCAAAAATTATATGAAAGAATTACTTTTAATGTTTTGTGTATTCTAATACTATAAGAATTATCAAATGTCTCTTTATTATGAAAGTTTTCTTGATAACACGAGTAATTGCTTATAAATATCCAAGATATTTTCACATCTTTCCTTGTGTCTAATGAAAAATGATAAAATATATTTTCATATCTATAAATTCCAATAGCATCAAAACTCGGATAATAAATTAAAAATTTTAAAATTATTTCATTATTAAATATTAAAATAAAATCTAGCTTATTTTCTATCTTAATTGATTTATATTTCTCATTCTCTCATCTTATCTCTCCTTTGCAAATTTCGACTAAAAAGTTTTTTTGTGAATAAAGTAATGAATATATAAATAAATAAAGTAAATCACACATGATATCTAAATAAACTGATTTTTGTAAAAGACTTTTTTATTTGTATTTTTGTTAAATTTAATTAGTTTTCTTATGTTTTATATTATGCAAATTGAAACATATCGATTTCTTTCTATTATACAAAAAAGGACTTAAATGACACAAATAATTTATAATTATTAATTAAATTAAATTTTTTATTTATAGTAAAATTAAATTGAATTTTTTATTCATAGTTTTAGAAAAAAATACATATTGAATAATAAAAAGTTTTTTAAAT